GCAGTTCTCCAGCTCAGCCTCACCCAAATGACTTACAGTCTCTTGGATCCTACACTTTTTAAGAGTTATAAGGTATGTCTATGTTATAATTAAAATTATAGAAGTTGTGAATAGCTCCCTCAACATCCTTAAACATTACAGGTCACTTTCATTCTTCCCTTTCTTTTCTCTCTTTCATAACCTGTTCTATCTGGAGTTAAATGTATACACTAAATAACCTCTAAAATGTTCTATATTAAACAGTCCTTAATCAAAAATACAATAGCATGCAAATCTTTGTTAACATAGCAATTATTAACAGTATTTATAATGCATTATGCACCTCAAGGGGGGGAAAAACGTCAAAACTGTGTGTAGGCAAAAATAAATAAGATCCATGATCCGTAAAATCAAGAACATGACTGTAGAATATATGAAATGTGCAGAACTCACCTTTTGTAGGGTCACAGTGTACTGTTCCCATATCAGCTCTTCCATGCCTGGGGCCTGTTTTAACAGAACAAAACCGGTCTGATGAAAACCACAACCTTTTCAATACTAGAAATAAAATTATCATTCAAAATGCCTCGACATCAAGTCCAGCTCACACTCTATACCAAAAAGAGTTAATATTTGTTCATTATGCTACCTATTTTCAAACACACTCCTTCAGTGAAATGAAACTGGAAACAATACTTGAAAGGTAAGTGAAATACACAGTGAGAGACAGACCCTAAAAAGAATGGAATGTTAAGTGCTGAGTCCTTTTATTATCACTATTCCAAAACACTGTCATCATAAAACCCTTTAAAAATATCTAGTTTCAAATAGATTTTTTTCTAATCATCCTCCCCCTCTTCCTGTCAAAGGTGACCTCGTAGGCAAGTTTTCTGCATGTTTATGTCTAAAAATAGCCTTAGCCTTATCATAGGGTATGCCCAATTGGGCGACCTGCGGGATCTTTTGGCTTTTTCTCCATCTGTATCACTGGGTATGAAAGATGAATGTCTTCATAAATGGACCACTGGGACTTCCATCTCTGACAATATTCCAAAGTAGGTATCTAGAAAAAACTAAAACTGGTGGTGTCATTTTACAAATAATAATCTATTAAATGCAGGCTGCCTTGAGAAAGCTAGAAATGCCAAGAACACTCAGAACCACAGAGACAAGCCAGCACTGAAGCGGGCATTTAGAGGAGGCTGGGGATCTCAACAGGGTGGGAAATCAGGTCTGGGTGGATCTATTAGGGGAAAAAAATACCAGCACACAGATGGAGACCTTGGCTATGGGTAGAGTGGAAATAACTAAAAATAAAACCCCGGAGAATTTCTATGAACAGACCTGTATTCACATAGGTTTGGGCATTCATATTACAGACGTAACCACACCCTGCCAAACACTAACGCCTACTGCGGTTCTGCACTGGCCATACCACCAGGTACACAGAGGCAGATGCGAATCCTCTCCAGAGATCACACTCAAACACAGCCTTCAAGGACTCCCCAGATAGTATGTATCCAAAGAAATGAGCCCACAATTTAAACATCCACATCACCATGAGTGAGAGGTAAAAGAAACATAAACTGAAGAATCAAAGACTTTAAATATTTGAAATAGCAGCCACAGGCAAAAACAGAGTATCTATAGTATGTGTATACATTGGTTTTTTGTTTTGTTTTGCTTGAGACGGAGTCTCGCTCTGTCACCCAGGCTGGAGTGCGGTGGCGTGATCTTGACTCACCGCAACCTCCACCTCCCAGGTTCAAGCGATTCTCCTGACTCGGTCTCCTGGGGTAGCTAGGATTACAGGCGCACACCACCACTCCCGGCTAATTTTTGTATTTTATAGAGATGGGGTTTCACCATGTTGATCAGGCTGGTCTCAAACTCCTGACCTCATGATCCACCTGCCTCGGCCTCCCAAAGTGCTGGGGTTACAGGCATGAGTCACCAAGCCTGGACTATGTGTATATGCTTTAAGAAATTAGAGGAGGGCTGGGTGCAGTGGCTCATGTCTGTATTCCCAGTACTTAGGCTGAAGTGAGAGATCGCTTGAGCCTAGGAGTTCAAGACCAGCCTGTGCAACATAGTGAGACTCCCATCTCTACAAAAAATTTTTAAAGTTAGCCAGGCATGGTGGCACATGTCGTAGTCCAACCAGAGCAACATAGTGAGACCTCACATATATATTTTTTAAAAAAACCCTCAAAATACCTGAAAAAGGCCAGAACGAGAGATCTCTGCTACCAGCAATCCTGGGTCTGGATGGTGAATGGGGCCCGGGGTGCCAGGGACACAAGCAGCCCAAAAGTGCAAGATTTAGGTTAAATGAAGGCCCATCAACACAAGGAAATATGTAAACATTCCAAAAGATTATCTAAAATATGTAAAACTCCCCAATTACTTAAAGTCTAAAATATGTAAAAGATTATCTAAAATATGTAAAACTCCCCAATTACTTAAAGTCTGTTCACTATGACAACTGTTCTTCAATTTGAAAAGATAAAAGTGAATTTTCAGGTGAAATTTTTATATCTTACTCATCTTTGTCCCATTATCTGCTACAACAGTATCTGGCACACAGAGTAGGCACTCAAAGAAGTTTTTTTCTTTTTAATACATCAAGAGATGGATACACTATTCATTTATCATTCAATTAATATGACTGAAGCACTCATTGCTACTTATTTTTTTTTTTTTTTTTTTTTTTAGACGGGGTCTCACTCTGTCACCCAGGCTGGAATGCAGGTGTGTGATCTAGGTTCACTGCAACCTCTGCCTCCTGGGTTCAAGTGATTCGCATACCTCAGCCTCCCAAGTAGCCGGGACTACAGTTGTGCGCCACCACATCCAGCTCATTTTTTGCATTTTTGGTAGAGACATGGTTTCACCATGCTGGCCAGGCTCATCTCGAACTCCTGACCTCAAATGATCTGCCCGCCTTAGCCTCCCAAAGTGCCGGGATTACAGGTGTGAGACATCGTGCCCAGCCTATAAATTTTCTTAAAGTTTCTATCAAATTCGTGGCTCTCTGCTGCTTTGATAGCGTACGTGAGGTGGGTGGACTAAAAACTCAGGTGCCCATGATCTGACTTTCTAGACGTGCTCTACAGCCATTCCTCTCTGGAATTTTGCCTGTGTCTAAAACAGCATTTTCCAATATGTGGCAGTATAAAAAAAAAAATTTCCAAGATTTTAATGAAGTTGTACATATTAGTTAAATTTTTTTTTTTTTTTTTGAGATGGCATTTCACTCTTGTTGCCCAGGCTGGAGTGCAATGGCACGATCTGGGCTCACCCCAACCTCCACTTCCTGGGTTCTAGCGATTCTCCTGCCTATCTCCCGAGTAGCTGGGATTACAGGCATGCACCACCACACCCAGCTAATTTTTGCATTTTTAGTAGAGCCAGGGTTTCACCATGTTGGTCAGGCTGGTCTCGAACTCCCAACCTTAGATGATCTGCCCGCCTCGGCCTCCCAAAGTGCTGGGATTACAGGTGTGAGCCAACGCGCCCGGCCAAAAAGTTTTCTTAAACGGAAACAGAAAGCAGAAACCCAGTCGGGCATGGTGGTTCATGCCTGTAATCCCAACACTTTGGGAGGCCAA